TGATTACTGCAACCCTGCATTTTTATTAGATTTTCTATGTTTTATACCCTAGAGATGAGTCAAATGAGGGCAAGACTCTAAGGTTGAAGCAACAGTATACACTTTGCTCTGCTTCTCTCCAAGATATTATTGCACGATTTGAGACGAGATCTGGTGAACCAGTGAACTGGGATGCCTTTCCCGACAAGGTTGCAGTACAAATGAATGATACTCACCCAACACTCTGCACCCCGGAGCTGAAATCTCATATTGATGGACGTGAAAGGTTTGAGCTGGAAGGAAGCTTGGGAGATAACTAAAAGGTACCTTCTTCATGGCTGTAGAACCTCTTGGCAACGGCGGCAGCGTGAAGAAAATTTATAGTTTTTATTTTAAACATACAACTAGCCAGTATTTATTGGGGGGGGGGATGTGGTTGTTGTATCACATGAAATAAATGTGTGAAGTTTCTACAGGATGTGGATTCAAATCATACGACTAATACAAATTTGTTGTTTCAACATATAGTATACTGTGCTGCATAATATGCGTACTAGCTTGCTCACAGCTCTGTTTTGGAGACGATGTTATTGCGAAGAAATACATGTCAAATATGTCAAGAGATGAAGGGGAAATTTTATAATTTACAGAAGAAATTTGAGAGAACAAATTTTAGTTTATTTTATTTTTGAAAAGGCAAAATGGATTTTGTTAAAATGCAAAAGTAAGTGTTACCATTTAAGGAATTTGAGAATATATGAGAGTACTAACCAATCTTTGAGGCATCATTGTTGTCTTTGTGAAGATTTTTTCACCCAAAAATTTTGGACAAGTGAAAGGATTAGTGAGAGTATGACATATCAAGCCAAATGCTTATCATGTGAAATATAGAGTTTAAAACATTTCCTATCTTGCATTCAAGTTAGTATAGAAATTTATTAACTAATGAAGAGGTTGGACCCATTAGGTTAAATTGCTTTTAATTTTTAAGTTAAATTGTTCTTGGACAAACATTGAAAATATGTGAACTTTTAGGATTTGTTCACATGTTTTTTTTTTCTCCAATCAACATAAGTTGTTTCACTTTAAGTTACACGGACTCAGGTATAAATGTCAGATAGGGCTGTTCATGGGTCGAGTTAGCTTGGGTTTACTGTCAAACCGTCACTAGACCTGACTAGATCAGGTACGGAAAAAAAGCACCCAATTCCGACTGAGCACTTGTCAAAACTGCAAAGCATCGAATCTATCTTCAACGGTTGATTTTCGGTTCGGGCGAGCAATATCTGACATTTGTTTTAATCTTAGAAAAAGGTTGAGGATTGAGAAAAGGGGGCTTCAGGAGGGGACGTAAATTGTAGAGGGGAGGAAGTAGAAAGGGTTTCATGAGGGTAGATGGAGGAATGAGATCAGAGAGTGAGAGAGGAAGTGAGCTAGATGTTGTCGTCCCTCTGAGAGGAAGTGAGCTGGAAGTAATAGTGCTTGTTTTCATTCCTTTTCTGCAGGGGCTTGGCCTGTTTTAATAGATGACTTTGTTGAGCACATGTATAGGTTTGATCTCTATCCATTGATCTTTTTCTTATAGAATTTGTAGTGTGTTCCTTTTATTGTTATTTAATGAAATATTGCTTTTGTTGTTGTCATTGTTGCTTTTATTGTTATTGTTCTCATTATTACTACTTCTCTGCTAGCTCTGAGAAAGGATGGAATCATTCGTTGATATTATGTGTTTGATTTGAAGATGTGATCAAAAGTGCATTTTCATAATTTTATATATTCCAAAGCAAAAAAGAAAAATAAATTTGACTGTTGGTTTCATTCAAAAGGAAAAAAAAAGGAACAAACAAAAAGAGATAGAGAGAACCAGAGAGATAGATAGAGATTCTCTTCATTCAGATACTCTTGGCTCTTGATGCGTGATGGCTGTAGTACCCAATCTACCTCCTTAAACGTTGAATACAGGAAACCATAAATTTTGTCCCATAGAAACTGACCTTAATAGCAGCAGCAGGAGAAATAAAATATATAAGGTAGAGTTCTTCCCTATCGTTTTTACTTGTTCATGGAGCTCTTTATGCTCCAATTGTAAGACTTATTCTCATGTCTTTTGAACCTTAAAATTCAACTTTGAAAGACGGGTCATTGAGGTTGGATTTACTCTTTAAAACATTAGTTTCATCCATTTGTTTCAATAACCCATGCTTTGCTATGTCATAAGCATGAGACACCATACTACATAAATTGTTTGTAGAGAGTGCTAAGTTGAAGTTGCTGCAAAGCGATAAATATTAAGTTGAAAATATGATATATGGGTTAGTAATGTATTTTCACTAAGTTGAAGTTTTTATCTTGTAGATTGGTCGATTGGTTATCTCGAATTAGTTTGGTTAATTGAAAATTGGGTTTAAGAGATAGCCTCAGTTTTTATCTTTTACATTGTTCGATTGATTAGGTTAATTAAAAATAGGGTTTAAGATGGTTTTTTTTAATCTCGTTTGAAATAATGTTGCTCTGTTTTTATCATGGATTTTTAGGCTTCTTCATGAAACTGATCTTCATCCTTACTAACTGCTGAGGAATTTTTAGGCTTCTTCATGGGTTTGTACTTCTTGCTGAGGAATGAGGACCATTTTGATGATCTCAAGAGGGCTACAAGGTCTGAGTTTAAGTGGGAGAAACCAGAAGGTTGCCCTGATAATATCCCTCTCTATGAACTTGCCAGAGGTGGTTATAGGCAACTTGCTAAAAAGCTTTCTTGCCATCAGGTATGCCGATTCTTACGAGTTTTTAGCTTCTTGAGCTTCTTTAGACTGATTTATGTTGTGCGGAAAATGGGTCTGCTTATAGCAAAGATGTACATGTGTTTCTACGGGTCAAATAATGCAGTCTCCAAATCTTAACAAGGTTATGAAATCGGTTGTACCTCGAATAATGTGTTTTGTGTGATAGTAATACCAATCAAATTCATGTTTGCAGGTAGCACTGGTTTTTTATGTGCATGTCATCTACGTGGTAGCAACTTTGACTTCCCATTAAAATTTACATTATGGTCAGTGAGTCTACATATTTGTTTTGGTTATTGTGTTTCCTTCTCTTTTCCTACATTTGTTCATAATATCAAGTTAGTGATGATGGTACACATAATTTGTATGGAACACTGACAATGTATTTGATTTTATACACATAAAATTGCTTCTTATGAGAATAGAAAGTAATCATATGTTTTAAACTCTTGGGTTATTGGTTGTCACTTCAGTTGAAAGACCTTGTTCTTATTGTTCATCCCATCTCTAATTCATATTCATTTTGAATAAGTGGTCAGTTTTGTGTGCTTAGTAGTTGATTGTCTCTTGCAGAGATGAAATATCTGGATGCAGTGAAAGGGCCTATGATTCACTTTCAATTAATGATGCCCGAAAAATATTGATGTTCTCTTCTGACCAAGAACTTTTTGAGTATGTCAAGGAGGTAAACTTCCTGCTGCTTAACTCATTTTCATTCTTCTTGTTAATCAATAGAATGCATTACTGGCTAGATATGCTTTGATGGTCTACAGTTTAAGGGCAGTACTAAGCATCTAATTGAAAGTCATTCTTGGTTTGCTCATTTCCTTTATATTGTTGTTCTTTCTGCTTGTGGTTGGCATAATGTAGCAACAATGTTCTTATTTTGCAGTTCCATGCCATCTGCATTGATCCGTGGCTGCGCCAGCAGGGAACTTGTCCTTTCTGTAAATTTAAAGTCGGATCAGGATTGCACAACAATGGACAAGGCGATGCTTCCTATATGGTTTAACAGACTTACAGAGACATTTGTAGCTGCTTATAAAATCACATATACAGCCATATACCCTTGAAATGATTCAGAAACAAGGGAATTCTTTAGACTATAGTCAACTCTGGATAATGTATGTATCAATTGGTTGGATCTAGTATGTGCCGTCTATAAAGTAGCTAGCTTAATGGGTGAATCACTGTTCATTAAAACCATTCAAATGCTACTGATATGATACATCATGAATTTTATTTAAAATTAACAATCAAATAAAACTTAGAGAAGTACTTGTTGATTACCATTTCTACAAGATAATATAAGGTCTCACCAGGTTTCCTTGGTCAGATATTGTAATGTTGACTGTCATAGTAAAGGTTGTAATTTCAGTATAAGAATTGATAAGTTGCAGTTTTATTATGCCAGCTAGTTGTCTCAATATGATGTACATGTTTATAAGATTTAGTTTGTATATTGTTGAAGTGTTTTAATTTTTTCCTCTCCAGGAATATGCTGAACTTCTGCATGAATTTATGACTGCAGTCAAGCAGAACTATGGGGAGAAAGTCCTCATTCAGGCTAGTCACCTTCCCCTAAATTACAGGCTTATGTTTTTATATAGTCATTGGATAGTTTTCAAATTCTATACCTTGACCTATATTATGCAGTTTGAAGACTTCGCAAACCATAATGCTTTTGATCTGCTTGCAAAGTATGGCAATACACATCTTGTTTTCAATGATGACATACAGGTAAATGATTGGGGCTCAGTAGTATGTACATTTATTTTTTGTTTTCATTTTTCTATTTGAGTGAGCTGCTATGTGCATTTGCGTGGGTTTGGGTGTAAAGTATTTTTAATATTTGTGTTATTTATTTTGTTCCAGGGGACAGCATCCGTGGTCCTTGCAGGGCTTATGGCAGCATTAAAGTTAGTTGGGGGAACCTTAGCCGAGCACATATTTCTGTTCCTTGGAGCAGGAGAGGTGTGCTCTTACTAGTCTTCCCTGAAGATTCCATTTAATAAAATTTGAATTGCTATACTAATTGAATAGGATGTTCGGCGTATATTCCCCATTTTTGTAATTTATTCACTCCCTCACTGGCCAACTGGTCATATTTTTTTTTCTCACTTCTGTCACTTGGTTGATGTAGGCTGGCACTGGCATTGCAGAACTCATAGCTCTGGAGATGTCAAAACAGGTGAGAACTTACAATGTTATTTTCATTTCCTACATATCTTATCTTTCAGTTTCTTGCAAAGTTGCAATCAGATTACAAAATTAACAAAACATGGTGAAAGTTTATACCTTAATTTTTTATGCAGACTAAGGCCCCATTAGAAGAAAGCCGCAAGAAGATATGGCTTGTTGACTCAAAGATAATTAAGGATACAACCTAAGAAGCATGGACATGGACACGTCAACATAGAAATTTTTAAATATTGAATAGTTGTATTGTGTCGAATGTTAATGATTCAGTTAATTTGAATGATGCTTTAAAATTATAGATTTATTATGTATTGAATGAATTATTAGGAATTACAGGTGTATTGTTTTCCTGCTTTGGCGACCAATTTATTTGTCGCGACAAATAAATAATTTTTTTTCGCAAAAAATGACAATTGCCAACCAAGAGTTTTGGTCGCAAAAAATACATCTATTGCCGACCAAAACAGCTCTTGGTCGTGGAAACTCACTTTTGCCGACCAAAAGTTTTGGTCGCGAAAAGTAACAAATGGTGACCAAATTTTTTGGTCGCGGAATGTCACAATTGGCGACCAAACTTTTTGGTCGTTGAATGTGATAATTGGCGACCAAACTTTTTGGTCGCGAAATGTGTCAATTGGCGACTAAGATATTTGGTCGGGAAAATATCACTTTTCGCGACCAAAGTGTTTTAGCGACAAAATGAATTAGTCGCGATAATTAAATATTTAGCGACCAAAAATTTAGTCGGCAAATTCAACTTTTGCCGACCAACCAAAATTTTAGTCGCGAATTACTTTTGCTGACCCTCAATTGGCGACCAAAGTAGCGACCAAAAAAATTGGTCGCGGATAACTTTTGCCGACCAAAAATGAGCTTTTAGCGACCAATTTTTTGGTCGGCAAAAGTGTTAATTCTTGTAGTGTTACTGCATATACCCCATCTTAATAAATAAATAAAAATAACAAACGTTCTAGAGTTTCACCAAACAGAGCCAAAGTTTGTGTCATAAAAGTTTTTTTTTATTGGGGATAAGTATTTGTCATAAAAGTTGAAAAACACCCCCTTCAAAATGTGTGTACCATATGTATCTTATAAATAAATAATAAAATGACATAATTTCATATTTTCTTAATCATAATTAAAAAAAAAAAATTGTAAGAACTAAATATAACATGAGACATAACTAAAGAAGAAATTAACATAACTAATGGGCATATGGTACATCCTTTTAAGGGTGTCCATATTAGAATTTTCCTTATTATTATTATTGCTATATTTTGCATTCTTCAGGCTTCAATAGGTAGGCTCCTAAGCTCAAATAGATATATGGTTATTTTCATGAAGATTTTTAACTACTGAAAAGTGTCACTTTAATTTTATAAATTGTAAAAACGTATAAATAAATTCTTTAAACTATTGAGAAGTATCACTTTATCTCTAAACTATACAAGCATACAAATGGATCCCTAAATTATTGGTGTGTTTTACTTTGATTCCTTCCGTTAGGGGTCCAATTTATTTGTTTTATAATATAGAGGGAAAATAATGCTTCTCAATAACTTAGAGGTCAATTTGTATGTTTTTATAATTTTGAGAATCAAAATAATATTTTTCAATAATTTAAGGAGTATTCGTATAAATAATCCAATAAATATATAAAGATTCTGACTTCTAAAAAGTTCTCTTGGTTTTCTTTGAGAGCCAAATTTACACTTTGTTTGATTGTATACATTTTTATTTTTGTAATTTCTAACCTTTGGTGCGATAGAGAATGAGTTAATAGAGAATGATTTTCATAGTCAATAGAAAATGAGGATTTGGTAAAAACATATGTTTTCTTGTTTTTTAAATATACACATAGTGTTTTGTTATTTTAAGGAAACCTACTAGATTTTTACCTACTCTATTAACATTGTCGTCACCATCAATTAACACTATCATAGTTGTTGCTGCCACTACGATGCTTCCCAACCATCCCCACCTCACCCCTCAGCCGTCGACACTGCCAACACTGCCACAACTACGAAAACTATCCTTTTCAAAGTTACAATCAAATATACAAAAATAAAAGAGAGGTTTGATGGAGCAATGGTAGATGTTGATGGTTGGAACTGCCCGATGCTGCTATTGGCATAACAACAGGTGCACCATAGGTTGGCCCCAATCCAGTCCTCTCGTACTAGGATTGGCTCCTCGCAGTTCTCCCTTTAACAGCAAAGAATATTTTCTTAAGGCTTTCTTCTTATTTTTTTTTTATTTTTTTAGTCAAAACAAATAGAGCGATAAAATAAAGAAAAGTTAAAATTCTTGCAATGACTTTTGTATTTGTCTTTTAGAATTTCTGGCGACATTTTTCTTTGCCATTAAAGTTGAATGTTCCTTGTGGATCTCACATAATAGACATATTCTCAAGTTAAGTTATCACATTAAAAATGTGTTGGGATTGACTTGATTATCTGAATAAAAGTGCAGTGGCCAATTGAGCTAACCTAATTCATAAGAGATTATAGTTATCGATTCATTTTGCTTATATTGGGTCTCTATCATGTGATCATTTAATAGAAAACTAAATTTAAAGATTTCAAGTTAAATCAATAGAAGAAAATAAAAATAGTTGTGTACCTAACCCCATTCATGGAGGTAATTTAGACAGTAGACTTCTTGGTGGTTATTGTGTTCCACTTCAGAATCCTACTCTTCTTTTCTCTCACACACCAACGAAAAAATATGAGATGGAGGCTAGAGTTGGAGTCACTAAAAAAAATGAAACTTTTAGTGATGGATAAAAGTTGACAGTAAATGTACAAAATCCATCGCAAAAAAGTATTAGCGATGGATTTGCGACGGATATGAGGCGAGGCAACAAGTGGCGGGGCAAATAGTATTTGAAATGGAAATACATCACTGCAATTTATTCGCTACTGATTGCGCCAATCCTTTGTGATGGCAGTTAGCCGTCCCAATAAGTCTATATAACAGAATATACCTTTCTTTTGCGATGTATATAGTTCACCGATTGCGATGGTATTATGCCATCACTAAAAAATTAAAAAAATTTAGCGACACTTCAATTTCCGTCGATAAAGGTTAAATTGCAGAATTTTTGTTTTTCTTATTTTATTGATTTTTCTTTGTGATATTTATATACCATCGCAAAATATTATTTTAAAAAAAATGTGAAACCATTATATAAAATTACCTATATAATACTTCATGTGATAAAATACATTCGCAATTACAAAAAAAAAAAAAAAAAAATCCATTTTTAAAAAATGCCTGTATCAACTATTAATATTTGCAAAAACAAATATCAATTGACATGACAAAATCAAATATTTGAATATTAATCCAAAGCAATCACTGTGATGTCCCATGTTTCGGATTTGAATAGTTTTGTGTAGTGGAGTAGTATGTATTTCTTTCGATGTTTCGTTTATCGTTTTGAGTCGTTGAAATTTCTTTCTACTCTTTCTTAACCCCTCTTAATGTTTCTGATTTGAAAATTTTGAGTATTAGGGGTTAGAAATTGCCTTGGGGTGTAAAATCATTTTCCGGGCTGCTTGGCAAAATCGCTCGTGCAGATTGGTGGAACTGCTTGAGCGGAACTACGCAATGTAGGGGGTTTTCTAGGCAGAATTTCCGCTCGTGCAGAATTAGGAACCGCTCGAGCGGATTTCGGTGAATTTTCTAGGCCGCCTCTGGACTATTCTGCTCGTGCGGATTTGGGATTCTACTTGTGCGAAATTGGAACCACATGTGCGGATTTCGGTGCGTCAGTCTCAAATTTTGTGTTCCTTTTTTTCTCAAAACTGATGCCAAAGGGGTGTGCTGACCACTTTTTTGAGATCTCTCTCTCTCTCTATCCGTCTTGCTCTCCCTTCTCTCTACAAACCCCACAAATTTTAATCTTCTCTCTAAGATTTAGCAAGATTTACCGAGAATTTGAGAGGGCTTCTTACACCGAATCGAAGAGGGCAATGAGGGCTACGTTCTTACTGATCGAAACAAGTTTTCACCAATATCTATTTTTAGGGTTTTTCTCTCCTTCCTCTTCCAAGCTTGACGTAGGGAAAATCTTTGAGTTATATATATACATTTTTGCAAGTTTTTACATGTTTTGAGTATGTTATCATGTTTTGAGTTATGATTTTGGGTTGTTGAACCCTAGATGATGTTTGTAGTTGATTTCATCTAAACATTTAGGTGGCAACTCTGTATCTGGCAAAGCAGTCCATGTTTGGCACTTCTTTCAAAAAATCTGTTTTCTCAAAACGATTTGCCGGAGTTGGACTCTTTGGTTCAGATTAAGAACCGTGACAATTTGAGAGTCCGAACTTGTAGTGAGCCCAAATGAACAGAACGAGGACGCGTCCTCCCGGGGCGTTCGGGGACGTCTACAGTTTCTGGCTACTCTGTTGGGGAGTTAGAGAACTTGACTCGAACTCATGATATCTGGTTTTGACTACACTTATGTGTTTCTTTGCATTGCATGTACATTGGTGCACCTAGGACACCGTGTTTGCCATCTGTTATTCCTGAACGGTTTGCCGGAGGCTTGTCTTGTCAAGACATGACCATAAGGCTTACCGGTTACGGGCTCTGCCAGTATGGGAACACAAACCCCGGTTTTACCGGGGCACCCTTTTGACCATTCAACCTAGTGCATATTCGGAATCCATAGTGACCATTCCAAGCAAGGACAGGTTGCTTACCAAATTTAGGTTGTTTGAAACCGCTGCATGCGTAGTGAAACCCTAGCTCCTGACAAAATAGGACAGGGAAACCCTACCCCAACATAGGGGTGTTTTGGCTCTCACTTGCTTGCTATGTGCTTTTAGGGTGTGTCCCTACAGGAATGCATATAACAGTTTGCAAGTCTGGGTATCAAGCCTCCGGGCATCAGTATTTGGGAATCAGTTTTACCTGAGGGTATCAGTTTACAGGCGGACTTTTGGGCAGAATTCAGTAGAGAGCACAGTTAGTCACCTACTCATACCTGTTCAGGTGAAATCAGGCTGAGATGCTGCATGTTTTCTCTTTTGCTAGGGTAGTCTTGGAACCATAGCTTCAGAAGGCTCCGATATCCCCCGAGGTTCATCGGACTTGTGCTGATAGACTTTGTCAGGTCAGAGATTCAGTTCAAGGGCAAATCAGTGTTCTTCTGCCAGAGCAGGGTAAAAGTGTAGTTAGCACAGATCACCGCGTT